TGGGCCTCACGGCATTGTATTGATAGAAATAGTAAAGATGGCAGCCTCTGTTTTTCTGGTCTGTGCACTGTTATTCTTACGCGGAGTTCAGTCGGACGACAAGCACAGTGGTAAGTATATGCATTACTGATATACGAATTGTGATATATATTGTCACTATACGTGATTTGACGCATTGTAAGTGTCTTTTTATTTATTGAACATGTTTTCTTATCTTACTTGTCGCATGTTGAGTATCGTACTCTCATAAAACACCCCATGTTAACCTCTGTAGTAAAAACAACTGCTACTTAACGGTAGCGTTTTGACCGGACAATGATGACACATGGTAATATAATAAATTGTGGACAAAACGATGATCACTGAAATAAATCTTCAAGAACAACATAATATTTTCAATCACTACATTTCCGCCAAAAGCCACGTTGTATTGTATTAGTGGGTAGAGGTCGCACATGCCATAATCACAGTCATAATGGATAGTATAGGTTAAAGCAGGTAATTAATGTGTGGAACTTTAAAAAAAATGATGAAAAGAGGGAAGCTCAATTTTTCTTGATACAAAGTGTGCTTGTAAGTACGGAAACAGAACGCTGTTTCTTCCCAGTTTTAGTGTATAACGTGCATCATTTCACTACAATAACGATACTTTAATCCCCGTATTTACAGCAGGAACGCAACCGAGCGTTTTAACCGTTATTGGGCGCGATTACTATTAGATTTTAGTAGCGCCACCAACGGCGCGAAATAATGTTTTTTTATATACCGAGTATAAGCCCACCCCCTAATTTAGCCGATGTTCAGGCCCCTGGTCTTATGATCGGGAAAGTACGGTAAATGCAGAAATTGAATATATGAGAACGATACTTACTGTACTAAATTTGTGTCATTGGTAGTGTGGAACGATTATAAGCGTGCCATCGAACTGTTAAAGACGAAGGATTTACCCAAGGAAGTGATAGTGCACAAACCCATGGTAAGCTACATTTCGTTACAGCCACAACCAGGGCTCCAATGGATATCTCGTTTATATTAGGAACCTGTATAGCAGTGTTTATGTTGCTTACACTGGCAACCTGTATAAAAATGTTAACATTAAATTAGCAAGCTGTGCAAGTTTGTTCAGTAAGTGCTACGAATTATATGTTACCTCCATGGTTAGATTGGATTGATGTTTGTTTTTAACGCAGTGTATGCATTACTCTACAGACGTACTACGACATACCAACCTCGTTCCCGTGCAATATAAGTATTCCACAAAACAGAACGGACATAAACGGTAATTGGCGTAATTGCAAATTTTGACATTAGCGAGTGGTGGAATAATAATGAACCTGTCAACTATTGTATCGTGTTATGAAGCCCAGACCGGTAACATTCATGACCGGTGTCGCAAGAGGGCGTCTAAAAAGACACAGTTTTCGAGTTTGTTTCGCGATAATCCGGCTTTCAGCATTTACACAATCACATAATATTTTAGTTTATTGAAAACACATGATATATGCTAGTATAATTGTTGGTTATATTTCAGTACATTCACTGCATCCCACGGATATCAAAGTGATTGGAGCGATGGGAGATTCTTTAACCGTGAGTTATAAACTGTCATTACGATCTGATATTCTAAAAAAAATACCAAAATACTTGGAGCAACTAACTGTTTAAATAAAGATATAATGATTTACAAGGTTTACTTATTTAATGTAAACAAATATGATTTAGTGGTAAATAATTTCACTTGTCTTCAAGTATATTACAATTACAGTTTACAATTTCAATCTCATTTCATTTTGTTTTATCTCGTTATGTTTCTTGCCAATCATGAACACCATGCAATATTGCCCAGGCTGCCTATGGAGCCCTAGCAGAGAATGTCGTTGATCTGATTTTACCGTTTTGGGAAAGTGAGGAGGCCAGAGGTGTGTCATTTAGCGTAGGAGGCGATCCAAATCCCGTCAATGGAACCACTGTCACCTTACCAAGTACGTAATGTCACCATGGACATTTTTTATTTTATTTTATTTTATTTTTTTTATATTTTATGTGATTACCCCTTTTATTCTTTTAGCCATTTTAATGCAGTACGAATCGGAAAATGAATTGGTTGGATACTCTCTTGGCAGAGGGAGTGAAAATGACGAAGGTTCAAATTTAAACGTAGCTGTCGGTGGAGCAACATCAGAGTAAGTAATATGTTAATGAGAACGATTTCTGGTACTATGTACCATAGCTATTTCACATTGGCAATGAGCGTGTCGACAATTCAAAACATACAACAAATTGATTATGAATCAAGCTCCGCTGATTCACTACGCAAATGTACGTAGATGAGTTAAATAATGACAACTTGCTGTTTTCCGACACAAGCATTGGGCAAGGTTTTCCGCGTTCGTCACGTGATCTTGGTTTATATAACCGCATAACTAGTAGGTATTACTGAATTTGTCACACTCAGTGTTTATATATAAAATTGTTCATCAAATAGTAATCCCAAATCATATAAAGAGCCCTTGTTAGTCATCAATTGACAAAATGTACATCACACGGCATTTAAAGACTTGAACTGTGAAATGACTATTGTAAATAAACGATAGCTGCTTCACCAATCCTTCCCATCAAACACCACAGTAAGTCATGAACCGTCGCATACACAATCATGTGGTATGATGCTGAATTTGTTTTCATTATAGTGATATGCCAGAGCAAGCCCTGATTTTGATTGAGCGAATGAAATCACGTCCTGAGATCAACTATTACCATGATTGGAAAGTGGTGACATTATTCATTGGTGGTAATGATCTATGTGGTTCATGTCGTAATCCAGAGAGATTTACTGCACAGAATTATATCAACAACGTACGTAAGGCCCTGGATATTATGACGCCGAGGTTAGTGTTTGAACAAATCTTTGTAATATCGCGTACATGTGAATCATAGTAGAACTGCGACGAGGTTAGTGTTTAAATATCTATGTAACGTGCACAAAAATGGGTTATAGTAAAACCTTGGCGAATAATTAACCAGTTGTTTTGTAGTCTGATATGTAATAAAGTAATTGTTCCATCGTTGATAGTTGTCTTTCAATAGTGACATGGTAACGAAAACATAAGTTGTTGGTTGGTGAGTAAATATGACCTTCGCCATGTATTGTGTAGTGGCATGACAAACTCTTTGAAACGATGAGAATAAGACCATCATTGAATTGTGGAGGGCAATATAAACTTAATTGGTTAATTGTGGAGTAGTTGAATTTGATGGATTGAAAAATACAGTCTATATTTTTGTTTGCCATTTGTTATGTATTTTCACGTGGTATTTCACGTTGGTAGTGTAAATAGTTTATGGGTTGTTATTGTATTATAAATAACGTTATTACATGTCGCTTAAATTTCTCGTACCCATCCACATCAGTCAAATATATTCGTTCTAAACGTGACTTGAGACGGTATTTGCATACTTGTTCCAATCCGTCCTACTCTCTTCCTAGCTACCGAAGACATTTGTCAACCTGGTGTCAGTATTACAGGTGACAGAAATCAACAAACTGGATAGTTTGGTTTGCAATGTAATTCACAGGTATGTGCATTGTTAAACAAACACCTTTGTCCTTTCATGGTAATGTCATGATTTATATTTCCGCTTGTTGGTAGTTGACATTCACTGATAACGGCTGGCTGATTAATGCCAGATGACAGGACTGGCTGAGATCCGTCAACACGTTCTTATGAGCTTGTTATTTTCAAGCTTATGCAGCATGTTGGGGGGTATTCGGCCAGGGTCCGGAACGAATGATGGATATGGATGTCAACTGTAAAATGTTATTACAATATCGTTGGCGCATACAAATATAAGCTGACATTGGCAGTACGGTAGTAGTTTTCCTAATACAGTAACGATTAATCAATTGTGTTATGATGTGTTAAAAACTTCATGTGATTGGCTGTATGATTGAAGGCCACGCCTTATAGTCTTTATACTCCCTTGTAATTGGCTAAGAGTTGAGTAGTTGATAAAGCTGGTTTGACGCTGTCTTGGCGAACAAGCCACGAGGCAGTCGGAAATTGAGTGTGACACGAATTCAGCTTCTGTGTGTTTTGTTAGTCCAACGTGGAGAGTATTCGACTCCTGGGTACCTAAGTTAAGGGTTTAAAGGCATCAAATTTAACCCATCACAGTAATATTGAACACTATTTAGTATTCAATGGCGTTATTTAATATCATTTACCGTTCAGTGAATTGTGAGTGTTATAGATTTCAGTTCGTTTATGGGTTTATGGGTATCACGTGACACACTACGAGGCTGATAAATAAATATGTGTGGCTTAAAATATGAAATGTGTTTATTTTGAAATATACAGGTTTGTGTGCAGTTGTGCCAAGGCGTCTCAATCAGGTAACGAGAGTGTGGCGGAAATGACGAAATTGACAAATGAATACCATGTAAGACAATCACTTCATATTATATGTGATATTATATATTTGATAGATATTTCTTATATGCGATATGCTATGTCATATGTGTATAATTGTTTGCGTATCTATACTTTCCAATTTCAGAAATTGACACGCGAATTAGTCAACTATGGACGATATGATACACGTGATGATTTTACTGTTGTTGTGCAGCCTTTCCTTGAAGATACCGGATTACCGTGGAATGAGGAGGTAACCATCTCAGCAATATATATCGTCTTATCACTCCTCAAATCAACTATTGTCGAACACACCAAATTTCACTGGACTATTGAAATCGATGTCATTTATTACCGGCACTTGTTAAAGTTGTATTTGGTTTGTGTCAATTGTCATGACCAAACGCACATTTAAATAAACCGTCATTGAAATTGAGTTTGTCATTAAAAATTACTAGTTCTTTATACATGACGTGTCATACTTAGTGTACAATGTGCTCACTCTTTTCGAGACAGATGACATGTATTTTGGTGATAGTTGTATTGTGTTCACAAACTTGTATTTTCTCTTTGCAACTATTGTTTAGTGATTTCCAGTTTGGTATTTTATGTCCAAAGTTATAATATTGTGTATTATGCATTTCAGACCGGGGAATGGGATGATAGTATAATGGCACCAGACTGTTTTCATTTCAGCGAACTCGGCCATCAACTAAGCGCCGGAGGATTGTGGAACAACATGGTAAGCCGTTAATAGTAATAACGTGTGGTTATAACTACATTAATATGTAAGCGTAATGATTCCTCGCACTGTTTCGTAAAATTTAATTTAATAAGTCTACAAATATATGACATGTTAATATTTTTATTCAACAATAGTTCGAAGATATGGGCAATAAAACGAATAACTGGGACTTTTATGACTTGTACGCATACTGTCCAGTAGAGGTGAGCCAATCTACATATTTATGCTGAACATTAAATACAAATGGTCCAGTATCTGGGAAAACAGTACTTGAGGAAACACGAAATGCGAGGATCGAGATATGAATCTCTGACATAACATACACCATACATAGAGAGAGACATGTCTCTCTGTCGTAACATACACTGCACATGAAGACATGCATGCCTCTCTGACGTAACATACAGTTGCACATGAAGACAGACATGCCTCTCTGACGTCGTATACACTGCGCATGAAGACAGACATGCCTCTCTGACGTAATATACACTGCATATGAAGACAGACATGCCTCTCTGACGTAATATACACTGCATATGAAG